ATTTTGGGCCCTTATCTGTAATAATTTTCAAATATCGGGCCTCTATCTGTAATTATTTTCATTTTGGGCCCTTATTTATAATTATTTTCGTTTTCGGGCCCTTTTTTGTTAATTTCCCTAAATTTTTTTATAATAATTCCATGAATCATAGAATAAAAATAAAAAAAATAATTTTCATTGATTCTGTAGTAGTTATAAGCAAACGTACATCCGCTTATAATAGAAATTCCAAAAATTAAATTCTCTTTTGGACAAGCACCAATTGGCCTAATTTCTCTAGATAAAATTAAATTCAAACCTTTTGAGGTTGTTAAATTTGCAAAAAATTCAATATACAGGATAAAAATGGTTTTGTCACGTTTATCAGATCTATGTTTGCAAATGAAAATCTTATCTTGCATCTAGAAGGAAACGCTTCTATCAGGTTTATGAGTTTGAATTCAATAAATATTGAATTATCTGAAGATGTTAGTTTGAAAGGTTTGTATCTATTAATATGATTAGATTTCGCAAGTGGTTTGGAATTTCTTAAGAGCCATGGTTTTCGAGTTATGGTTTTTAGGACTAATGAAACGTGATAAAATACTTTTCAATCTAAATAAATATCGTAGCTGATATTGAAACTGACTGATGCTGAAATTTGGATCCAATTTCAGGATCAGCCGCACAACAAATAAGTTCCAAATTCACCTATGTTCCGTTCCGTTTCTATTTGTTGCTTATGTCTAACTGCGGATTAATATTTCGATAATTTGATATTAGGAATGAAAAATTTGATTGTAGATAGAATTGAACACTTTGATGGTGATACCGCTATTAATATGCATATAAAAACTCAATCATATGTTTTGGTAGAACTAGGTGAAATATCCTTTAATATAGAATACACGAATAAAAGAATTGGCGAAATTTTTTTCAGCAAAGTTCATGCATGGTTGCAATACATTTTTGTTTGATGGACGTTTACTGCATGATTCTAGAGATTGACTGGAGTTGGTTTCAAAATTTTTGGTCGATGAAGAAGTTTCACTTAGTTTGTTGGACAAAATAACATTCGTTCTTCAATTTCCTGGTTACAATCTACACTTGATGGAGTCTCTCTTAACGTGACTATTCTCAAAGGATAATATACGAGTTTCGATTGTGAAGTTCATCTAGATGAATTAGAACTTAAGCCCCAATCCCGAAGGTTTCAATCGAAGTGTGCAATAAAATATCCTAATCCATTTCAGCTAAACATCAGTAAAATCTCCTGTAAAGCTGAATTATTTATCAGTGAACTGAAATTAGCTGATCTTACAATTTCAGACACGGAAGTATCGGCTACCTACAACATTAAGTCTAGTGCATTGTTTGAAATACACCCTGAATTTATAAAATCATTTAGCGATGTTTTAGCAAAGCTTATGATTCTAAGCACAACATCAAATTCTTCTGATAATGAAATATCAGATGATTTTGAAAAACAAGTTAAGAAAATATGAAGGAAAATGTTATCGTTGTAAAAGGTGAAGCGGATGCACAAACTCAATTTAGACCAATCAAATTAACGTTAAAGGTTAATTTCGAAAAACCTGCTAGATGGATCAATCCATCAATAACTATAAACCATTTGGACGTCATAGGAGGGACAAGAGAATATCTAAAAATCGAAGCAAATGTTAATATCACTAATCCATCAAAAATTAAAATTAACTTCAGGGGGAGCAATGTCAAATTCGATATACCGGTAATATTTAAAACAGATGTTAGAGGCAATCCCTCGGAAGGAAGAATTGGAAGTGTGATATTAAAAAATTTTATATTAGAAAAAGATGGAAATACAAATCTTCGTGCCATTGTACAATATTCACCATTAAGCAATCAAGAAGGAGATGTTGGAAAAGTGTTGATAAAGAATTTTTTAACTGGAAAATCTAGTGATGTAATCATTAAAGGAACAAAAGATACAACAACAATATCACTATTAAAAGACGCTTTAAATTATGAAAAATTAACTGTTTCTTTGCCAGGTATTGATAAAGATCCATTCATCGCTGAATTGTATTACTCACTCTTTAAATCCAGTGGCACATTCACGTTTAAAAATCTCTTTAGTACTGGGGTGCGTGTAAACGAGATAATTAGAGCTCAAATTAAAGTAGATAAAAAACCAGTTGCAAACGCCGCAACAAATCTTAGTGAAAATAGTGTTATTGAAAGTGGAAACTCTATAAAAGTTGAAGTTCCTTCGGTATCTTTAGTTATAGGAAATGCAATTATAAAGCTTCCAAAAGTCATGTCTAGGGGGTTAAAAGTTGATATTAGTTGCGAAGTTAAGGTTGATGTTTTCAATAAGAATGAGACGAATGATAGATATTGAATACTGTAAGTATCATGATTTTAACGTTTAAAATTTTAATAATTTAATGCTAATGCTAATTATTCTTATGCTTAGCACAAGATAATATAAAAACTAATCTGACCGTCTAGTACATCAGGAAATTTTTAAATAGTGTGGATATCGATTGCTAGCCGCAGGGTGATTGCTACCGATTAAAAAATCGATAATAATCGAACAGAAGTCAATATAAACTTAATAAAAACTAGATCTTGATGGTAGCCCTTAGGATAATTATGTTACAACGAGTGAATTTTATTTACTAAATAAATATTTGGTTTTTTTGTGTAATTAGAAATTATCTTTATAATCATGTATCTTGTATAATAATATTTTATTGGGGATGTTATCGTATAGTTAGTTCACTATGTAATGACACATATATATTAATAAATAAAGTTCTATATTTGCACAGCTTTCCTTTTCTTTTCGCCCTCAAGATTCATAGGACGACTTTCATCTGATTGGCTGATGTAAATCAATTGCCGGGTAACTTATTTATACACTTTAAAGTACTTTTTGGGAACGTAACGTTTCACTAACAAAAAAATCGCCGTAAAAGCAAATTCTAGCTCTAAACGAACGTAGATATTCACTGTTAAAATTAATCCAAAATAATCCACCTCTCCAAGAACTTCAC